CCGTAAAACTCAATACTCCTATAATTTGTTCTAATAAGATAACACATCATGTGCTCGGCTGCTTCCATGTTTTGTTTCGACGGATTTTGTGAAAATTCCGAAAGCTTAGATAAAGCTTGAGCGATATCGGGCCGAGTTATAAGTTCCGGATAATTAAGTTTTCTTACTCTTTTTTGATACCTTTGTACTTCTCTAGCCGTGGCTTGATCTAGATTCCGATACAAAGGCGTGGCTGGTAAGGGTGTTGATGGAACTTTAATTCCTTCAACGTTGATGTTGAATTCACTTATAATGATGTCCATATATGCGTCCTGTACGAGCTAAACCTTCCTTAAAAGTTTGTCTCTAATTACTTGAATACCAAGAATGTTATCGATTTGTCCCAAGGGCTTAGTCTGATACGTTTTCATCATATTCTCTTCAGATTTGTCAGCCTTTGCACAAACTCTTTCGTGGTAGACTACTATGATATCGTCTATATAGAATAGAACAATAAGTTGAGGACTATTAAATAGACAGTAAATACCTGGCATAGGCGAGAGACTTAAATATATAAACGTTGATTGGAGATGATTCTGCCAGAGTAATGCCGATTCTGGGAGTCCATAGAGGGCCTTTCTGATAAGAAGTGTCCCTTTTTCTCAAATTTTCTGGCAGGCTTGCTATGATTAGCTTTGGGATATCGTCACTGGTGTAAGCTGCAACTCTATCTTACTGACGTATTTTATAGCTATATTCAGTAGATATTTCCATTATCGCACGAAAAACCTGAGCGGCTCATGTAGCTGCCTAGGTTTTTTCCGGTGTGTTGCTCAAGTTTCCTCTCGTAACAAGCTGTGCTATAAAGGAAAATAAATATCCATCCGCGTCAAACTTACAAGTACATACCCACATGAGTAGTAGAGTTTTTAGATCTATATTAAACTGGCCTTCCTTTTGCAGATTTGTAAGCTCTTGCTCATTAATTTTTGAACTGATATTTTTTTCAAACAGAGTGTTAAATTCTTTTAATTCGGCTAACTTGAACCCGACTGAGTACTCATGATGGAACATTTTTTTATAATTCTTAGGAGCCTTTGGAAGATTTTTTCGGTGAGTTTTGGCAGGCTTGATTAAATTTTTTGCTTCTGCAAAAGAATTGTGAAACGTGACGAAATTCCCTGGCTTCTAGATCCTTTTCCCTAGAATTATATTATTCTCACTGATACTGCTATCAATGCTATTTTTGAATTATGTTTTGACCATATCTCCAGGAGTTGTCTGACTACCTGAACCCGAACTCATATTCGGTAAATAATTGTTACATACTCCTTCTGGTGCTCTTGACATTGATGGCGTTAAACTTGGAGAGGGATAAAAAATTCGATCCTGCTCGCCAGACTTTGGTAAGTTTGTTACACAGAATGTCTTCAGATTTTTATCATAATCTTCTAGGGGATTAGAAGGTTCATTCACAAGAATATTCTTACTTTCTCTCACATTTTGATAACTATTTCTTTCCATTCTGGCATCTCGATTGCTTGAATGATCTTTTCAACTGATTTTCTCGGTACTTCTCCTAGGTCCAGTTCTTTTGGGTTGTAGAATACGCTATCATCGAAAGTAACATTCCGCGTTCTGATTACCTTCTGTTTGATTGGTATCCATATTTTGAATATATTTGTTGAAATATAACCCATAAGATGTACTAAGTGTGCTCGTAAGTTGAGTTTCTTAGAATTAGGAACATCTTTATCATGAGCGTAAGCTCTACAACCGAAAACATGGAGATGTGCGTAGCTTGGTATGACTCTGTGAATGACTTCAAAGGGAGTTTCCTATCCCAGTTGTCAAATTAGAGATTTATTCACTATGTATCCTGCTGTAACTACTTTTTGACGCTATAGATTAGTTGGTAAAGATGCTTCTAATCCCATTTATCTAGCCTTGGCCATTATCAACCCTCAGGAACCATTCTGCTCAGGGGTATAAGCAGCTGATACTTGACAAATAATTCCATACTGTCTAACGAAGGTTTTGCACTCTTGGATTAACGACGTTTCACCATCGAGGCGAAATATGTAAATATTTCGTTGCCATTGTGTTTTTATAATCTGAAAAAATATTTGTACTGTTTGTCTGGAATTTTTTGAATGACTAGGAAAGTTGAAATTTAAGTGACTGTTGTTGGAAATGGAGACACAGATCGTTGTGGACGTACGGGCCCTCCATTTCGTCTAGGTTCCCGACACGATCTTGTGCGTATTAAAGAGGTTGGAATGGGTTATATGGTAGCGCTTCAGGTTGCCTGTTGGAGACATGAGCAGCTGTATGGCGTGGGCACAAGGAGGTTGTTGGGGGTTTCCCGTGCCGAGATGGCGCCAGACTCGTTTTTGCTGTGGCATAGGCTACGTGTCGCTTACAAATGTACTTGTATCGCACACTACTTATACTTCTAGATATAGTCAGGACATGACGCTCTCAAAGCCGTCAAAGACAAATTTTTCATCTTCCAGTGGTGCCGGTGTAATCGTTCAGTATGCTCTGCATATATGGGATAGCCAAGAAGAATCACATCCGAATCGAAGTCGAAAGCAAACACATCCATATCTCCATTTGACGACTTCTCAACCATGCACCACTCACCATTATCTTCTGAGTCCATAACCCCGATCTAACCACATATCATCTCACCTCGCCGACCGATAAAGGCGTCACCCCAATTGCAAACAGGAGCTTGCTGCATTCATCACCGGCCATCTCTCACTACATATTCACGACGCGAGTTATACCCGCAAGGAGGAAATTAAATCATAATATACAAAGTTGGGGTCTTGGTTTACGGGGAACTAGTGCTCTAATGGGGCTATACATCTTGAGGAAGGACAAGCGGTTGAGACGTAGGGCGAGGGGGGGGCAGATCTCTGAAGACCATGCTGGGACTGACATTTTCGAGGGGCTTTCAACTTTGGATTTTTTTGGGGCGCCAAGACCGAGGTTTCGGCTAATTAGCCAGGAGGGCTTCTTCTGTCGATGAGTCAACGGCACTCCCCAGCGCCCTGGACGGCACAAAAGAAGTTAGGCTAAGCTACTTTACAGCAATCACGCTCTGTCAAGACTTTTCTGACATTTCAGCACGACCTTCGGGAAGGAGTTGTAAGGAGGCTAGAAAGTCAGAGGGTGAATTCTCCGAGGTACCCACAAGTCTGCAGCGCCCAGCTGGCCGGCCTCTTCGAACGCTTCAGAAGGGGCACTATGTCTTCGGATTTAGTCCTAATGTCGGTGTTAGAAGAGCCCCGCACCTAGTGGTTTTTGCGATATTTCCCGGCTGCCATACACCCGCAAATGGCCATTGTTTTGTTGGCTGAAGAGAGGAGATAATGAAGGGCAAAGGGCTCCTCCAAGTGTATGATCGAATGAGGACTTGTGAGGGGTGGTACCGTTTGAGGGGAGTTGTATTGGAGGCATAGGAGGGGATATACTACTGGTATAGGTATCATTGGCCTGTAGGCAGAGAGGACCTGCATGTCCCACATAGTCATAGACCCAGACAGGACAATAAAATGAATTAATAATGACGCTCTCACAGTCAACTCCTTTTCACGGTCCATAAATATTACGCCCATTTCATTGTGCGATATTTCCAACATGACGAAGATGAAGATAATGAAGTACCTAGATGCTGGAATCGATGCGAATGGTGCTAATAACTGTCACGATTGGGGGACTATTCTCAACACCTGTCAGTGGTGTTCCCTACGAACCTCCAGCTCTCACTGTAGAGTCTGCAGAGCCGAGATTGAGTAACAAAGTCCTCACTTCGACGAGGATTCCCAGTCGCTCTCGCGGTCTGCATCGTCTTCATCTCTCAACACATTCCCCTATTACCATTATCACGAAGCTAACCACGATCAGATCAGATGGTAGGGTCGAAGTCCTACTCATCACACACCCTAGATCATGGAGGAAAAACCATCCGATGAGTTTCCGGAGCGTACCCAGCACCCGATACGGAGATGGCGGATTGGATCAAGTCGACCTCAACTGTTACAAAGAAGGGAGATATGGATGAATATGCGCACCTCATGTGGTCCCGGTGTCTAGGCCTCGTCTGGCTGGGGCTGCAAGTTTTTTGAGACTTTTTCCGGCGCATGCAGTTTTCATTGCTACCATTTTTTGGGTAGAAGGTTCCGTGGAAAGGTGGCTGAATTCCACGGGTATATACTGAGCTGAATGGCTTTTCATCACGGGCAATATATCAATGATCTTTCAAGAAACATGTGAGGCAAGGAGCATTGTACAAAATATGGCCTGGGTCAGAGAGGAGCCCAATATTCTAGATAATCTAAAACTCAAGTAGTACAATAAAATGCCAAACTTGAGACTTGACGTTTTGTATTACGAAAGAGCCTATTGTAAGGTATCTAAAATAGCTGAGACCCTCGAGTGTTGGCTATCGCTGAGCCAGTGGCAATTTATCTAACCAGAACCTTAATGTGATCTACTTATTATATCTTTATAGAAATACTGAAGCGGTGGATAACGTTGTGGAGTTGTAAAAGAAGCTTATCGGACTGGCATTTATCGAGATTAAATAAGCTTATTGGTTTTCTGAGAACTATCCTGACAGGAGTGGAACGTCTAGAAAGTCGTGGCTGAAGGAAGAAGTAAATATCGGAATCTGTTGCACATAGTATATATCACATGTGAACTTGGGGATATAAGTGTACAAATTAACCGCACAAGCAGGGCTTAGCTGTAAGGAACTGTCTCTTATGGTTTTGTAGATGACTCTATTTGCTCTGTTGTTAGGATTAAGATACTATCTCTGAAGCAAGACGAAATTTAAACATGATCAGAATAATCTTAAAATATGTCGAAGCTCCGTAACTGATGAGGGAATCAAATATTTGTCAGTTTTGGAACGGCTAATACTGCCAGGTTATGAGAATTATAGTTTGTCATCTAGGTCATATATCTACATCTACAGTAATTAAAGAAGCATCAATACGAAGAAAGCTTTAAACTTCTTCGGTGAATCGTGATGTGTGTGATCCGTCTAAGGATGGGTGCGAGCGGCCTATTGCATCAGGTCTTTGCGGCAGATTTAAGGTAAGACATGAACGAGCGACTGGTGTGCCATTTTCTCGATGAGCTGGAGTTGAAGTGATGGTCGATCTTGAGGGGCTTCCTGATACCGTTTGTGTAATCGGTGAATCTCGTCCCAAAGATGGGCCACTAACTGTCTTATTATCCTTGTGGACGCTACTACCGCTACCGCCACCATAACCATCGCCTCCATAATGTAAGACTGATGGAAGTTTACGTCCAGAAATGCGATAAAATCCTTGGTCGCCTTCATCAGTGGAAGATGTAGTTCCGGCGACTTTTGCAGAGGGCCACCTGTAATGGGACATGGAAGAAAGCGCAGATGACATGGGAAAGGGCCGGGGTTGCCGCTGGATTGGGTCAGATGAAGACTGCATTGGGGCAGGATGGTTTAGTTCGGAGACTTCGGGCTTGCCACGACCTGTTATGAAGAGCGATTTGTTTTTCTTGTAAAGTCGGAGCAATATTATCATTAGTACTATTAGAAGAGCTGCACCAGCAACGCTTCCTACTACACTACCTATTAAAACTGATCTTGGGGGTATATTATGCGATTCGTGATTTGAGTTTCTGATGGTTGAGGATGGAATCTCGGGAGATGTTGTTTGCCCATTTTCATCACTCTGAGTGGTAGTAGCAAGGCTATCAGACGTCGGCGAGGATATAGAAGATGATATAGGTGTGAACGAGATAGAGGTTTCCTTAGTTGTAGGGGATACAGAATCGGATGAAGCAGAAGTAGAGTCAGTTGCGATGTATGATGCGAAGATAAATCTAGTGGAGCTCGAGATTATAATGGACGAATTTATATAATTGGATGAAGGGCTACTAGAGCTGGGAATTACTTTTAGGAGTCAGCATAAAATTGCTTCTGTATGGTAATTGTAACGAACAAGTATTAGAATTAAAAGGAACACCTTGGGATGAGGGACTGGCAAGCCTGCTGTAGATAAACGTCAAGTCTGCGTCTAGTCCTTTAGTTGAGTCTAACGAGGGTGCCAGGATAGTTGTTGGCTCTGTAGTTGTTGGTAAAGCTTCCACGACTTTTGAATTTGCCACTGTATTAGATCTGATTGTCTCAGAGCTCGTTTCGAGTGTCATTGATGTCTCTAGCGAGAAGATAGAGCTTATGGCTGTCGCAAGCGAATTTGATGAGTTTGTACGGCTACTTGTGAAGTTGGCTGTCAGGACTGATTGGGCGGTTATGGTGTTAACATTTGGATCAGTCCTACCCAGCTGAGCTACGGTGATAGTAGCCACAACTTCAGAAACTAGAGGTGGATTGGCAACCACGGAGCGCTTTCTAGGATGCAAGCTGAAATTGGGTTGTATTTGCTCTCGTTGAGCTTCGTCGTGCCAGGCCAGAGAGAGTGATGGCCTTGCGGTATTTCCGAGCATTGCAGGTTGCGAGCGTTCCACGCCTATCTAGGCTGAATAGAATCCGCAGCTATACGCGAATGTCATCATGGTATCATGCTAGTGGATGAGATATGAAGTAGAACGGGCTGCTAAACAGCACGTAACTCAATGGCAGTTGCTTGTGGAGGGAAGGGATGGTTGATCCCAGCTTGGTAGCTAAATCTCGGCTGTTAGCATTATAGCTGGGTTTAGCACCTGCCGCTAGCGGACGGCGCATTCCATTCGTACGCGATCCAGGGTTCACGAGGACCCACCGTCAATCACGCCTCGTGAGTCTCACGAGAAACCGGCCCTCTGTTGTGGGTAGTCATCTGAACATTTAATTATTAGTGTTGAGCCGTCGAAAGACAATTTTCACGAATCGCTCAGTGCTTTGACAGCACTCCATTCAATCTGAAAACTAGTGAGTGAGGTCTCGAATTTGACCATGTCCTTCCCACCCCGCCCAGCTGCCTGCATTCTCCGAAGACCCTAACTTTGCCAGTAAATGGATCCGAATCGAAAGGCCCCACAAAGTCCATCAACTATTATGGTGACTACCGGACCTCTTCTATTGTCTCCCATGCCTTTGTGAAGATTTAACTTGTCACAAAGTGGAGACAACCAATGGATCATCCTGTCATCTTCCATATGACCTGCATCTCAAACCCCTTTTTAACTAGGTCGGAACAAATATCACAGGAGCTAAGCACAGGTCTAGCTCATCTCGACCATCATACATGTGGCACAGCAAATTCAGCTAGATCAAGCACGTCGTTGACAACACTGGCCCGTCTAGTTCACTGAGAAAGAGGCTCATTTCTACCAAGAGAGTGCTCCCAAGGAATGCACCTGAGTAGAGTCATTTACTCATTGGAGATATTTTATTCCTAAATAGCGCATGTATGGTCCAGCTCTTTATCTAGTGAACATGAGGTGGATATGTGATTCTTGGTTCGACTATGCCGGAGACCGGTAACGAGGCTGCCTAACCATTTATATCCGGAACCAAGGTGTGTCAGAAAGGGGGAATTTGGATTTCTGACAGCAATTTTGGAAGTATTGCCGTGATTTATCTCGATGTAGTGTTAAATGGTACAAACTAACACGTTCTAACCTACGATGCCTGGGTTGATTCGTCAGCTGAGTGCAGCAAGAAAGGCTAGCCACTGGGATTAATTTTCTAGACCATAAGCCCCCAATTTGGCTCGCTTTTTAAGTGCAAGATCAAGCTCGACATGCACTGATTAGATCTGGTAGGCCAAATTTGACCGAAAGCTCCCCTGTAAGCACTAATCGTGATGAAATCTAGAAAATATTTACACTCCATTGTTTGACGGGCCATTTGATAAATTCGTCGCGGTACTTGTGGCAAGTTGAGAGGGATGCATCGAAGCCACAGCTGCCATCACTTTGATAATTTATCTATCATATACTATAATAATGGTTTTTCTCAATATGAGTTATGTTACTAGGAAACAGGTTGAGAGGGGTAACATTTGTGGCATTTTCTTGTGCTCAGTCAATCTTCTATCCTTACCATCGATATCCTGATCCAATTGTTTTCTAGTCCAGGAAAAAGATGATCAATATGAGCGGTCAAATTATATGGAAGCACCGTTGGAACTAACTTGAGGGGAGGCAAACCTAAACTATCTAAATCTATAGTTATATAAAGATACGGCTAGGATAGAGCTTGCAGTCACTGTGAAACTATAATTACTTTTATGAGAAATATGGGGCTTCCATGGCGGGGTAATTTTGGTAGGTATCTTGACTTTTCGGAAGTTTAGGGATAGTAGTGAAATAAAAAATTGTCTTATTTTGGAGTCCCTCGTCTCTGGCAGAACTGTTTCGTGTGTTGCTGAGTCATATTTCAACATATGCATCGCTCTCTGCTCACCATTGAGCATGGGATGAAGCTGCATTCGGGCGGGTAAGCACTCGCCACTTTTGTATTGGGGCGTCCTTGACGCATGTCTGGACGTATTTCTGAGGTCCACGAACTGCAAATTGGGCGCTACACGAAAGAGATAATCCATGCATGCTAGACGCGTAATAGACATTGTCACAATCACGATTCAACGGCGCCGACAGTGGAGTGAAGGCGATACCAACTAACGATAGACCCCCAGACGCGCAATTGGACGCTCGACCGGATATGTCGTAGTTCCTGTGCTGACAGTTTAGTGCTTCACGCTGTTGGTTACGAGCCATGCCATGCAGCTTTGTCAGGCGGACGGGCCCAGTATGAGTAGCCACGGACCACGACAGAGGGCAGAGAGTAGGGCAAGGATACTACCCCATTCCTACTTCGCACTTTTTTTTTGTGCATCAGATTTTAATTGCGCATGCAGCTGTCTTTCGCCTTCGCACCGTCAAAGCTCATCATGGAGAGGACTTCGGCCTCGCGTTCTCTCACAACAATCTTCTGCTGGACACGGAGGTAGGCAAAACGGCTTGGTGATAAGATGGTCGTGTAATTAGGATAACTTCATGCAGTAACTAGGTTTATTTTTCTTTCGTGTGACATGTACCAGGCATGAGGAGACAGGGGTCGAGTTAAGTGTCAAATCAACTGCAAAATGGTATAATTGCTAGATAGGCTGAAGATAATGGTCAATGCACTATGAGCATAAATTACGCACAAAAATGCCTAAAGTCGCTTCGCCATGAATCGATGGGAAAAAGGAAAGTGACTAGAGCGTCATTGAGGTCTCGAGCCGTAAATTACATGTGCTCGTCGTCAGAGCCCTGCTATCCTACACTTTGGAAACTGAGGCTCACGCGCTTGTCCGGGATCCAAACGCTCCCGGAGCCGCACTGTGGCGCCGGAACATCGTACGACCGAGACGGCTACGAGCAGCACATCTTTCTCTTGGAATTTCCAACAACAGCGGCGTTGATGAAGGTAAAGTTAGCAGAGCCGAGAGTGAGTAACAAAGTCCTCACTTCAATGAGGATTTCCATTCGCCTTCGCGGTCAGTATCGTCTTCATATCTCAACACATTCCCCTATTACCATTATCACGAAGCTAACCACGATCAGATCAGATGGTAGGGTCGAAGTCCTACTCATCACACACCCTAGATCATGGAGGAAAAACCATCCGATGAGTTTCCGGAGCGTACCCAGCACCCGATACGGAGATGGCGGATTGGATCAAGTCGACCTCAACTGTTACAAAGAAGGGAGATATGGATGAATATGCGCACCTCATGTGGTCCCGGTGTCTAGGCCTCGTCTGGCTGGGGCTGCAAGTTTTTTGAGACTTTTTCCGGCGCATGCAGTTTTCATTGCTACCATTTTTTGGGTAGAAGGTTCCGTGGAAAGGTGGCTGAATTTCACGGGTATATACTGAGCTGAATGGCTTTTGATCACGGGCAATATATCAATGATCTTTCAAGAAACATGTGAGGCAAGGAGCATTGTACAAAATATGGCCTGGGTCAGAGAGGAGCCCAATATTCTAGATAGTCTAAGACTCAATTAGTACAATAAAATATATCACTCACTTACTCACTCACTCTAGACTTTATTCGCAAATACCACTATGGGTTATGTTCGCGTACACAAACAGTCGTCCCTCGCCCGTGAGTACCCATCAAAGGGATTTCTAAAACCTTTGATTATCCATGCATGCCTTCGTTACCCGTGCACACCAGCGCCGCGAAAAATGTGGTTGTGTTTTGCCGGATTCGAATAAGCGATCTACTGTCTCGAGTAGGATATGTGTCCAAGCTATCCCGACTCTACTTGGCAGACCGGCCAAGACGATGTACCACCGCACCATCAAACCATGGCGGCGTCAATAGTATCGCCTGCACTCTCGCAACCGAAGCCTTCACAAAATGACAAAGCTCAGTACGTAAAATCTCATTGTCCAAATTCCAAAGTTCACGCTCATCCAGATTGTAGTCATCCTCTGCATCATCTTGTCAATTTGTCATAATTACTCTCACGCCCATTCAAGAGAACTGCTTCCTAGATTTTGGCGCCACGCTTTGTTTCCTCCGTCGGGTATTGATATCGACGAGGGCGTGTACTTAGTCGACTGAGGCTCGAGAAGGTTGAAGAAAAGTATGATCATTGGAATAAGGATGTACAAAGTCGCACCTATATGCTCGATGAGACTTAGATAAGAGTTAATCTCGTTGTGATGGGAAGATTGACATGGTGGAGTATTTTGAATCATTGCCTCGTGGGCCAACTTCTTTGATATTGCGAAATTCGACTGAACACGGCTCTGGGGGGAATATTCACTCCCAGGTTCGTAGAGGTCACAGCGCACAGGTGTTCAGGCTTTCCCTCCACACTTAATATCTAATACATGTGGGGGGACTATTCTCAACACCTGTCAGTGGTGTCCCCCACAAACCTCCAGCTCTCACTGTAGAGTCTGCAGAGCCGAGATTGAGTAACACCTTATCAACTTTGAGCTGAGTTATCTCCCCCTCCGTCAAAGATACGCTTCCGATAACACATAAGACGACCAAGACGACGATAATGATGCTGGGAATAAGGAGAGATAATGCGGTACCAAACGCTACAACGGTAGTCAGAGAAGCCATTGTTATGTCACAACATGGGCTACCCACCGGCGGATAAACAAAAAGCCCACGAAAGCAAAGTAAAAGACCCTTCCGCCCTCAAGCAAAGCACATTTCGACTCGTCAAAAATATCGTCGCGACTAATCTATACCTCCGAATCTACTAGCCAGGAGGGCATCTAAAATACATGAGTTACTCGACAACCCCACGTCCGTAACGACTTTTGGGTGCCAGGCTAGGTTCCTTCACGACAGTCACTCTCGACCAAGACTTTTCTGACATCCTTTCACGACCTTCGCTTTGTCCAGCGGCATGAATCAGGGAAAGAGGAAGGAGGAGGCTAGGAAGATTGAGAGACGCTGTTAGGTATACACAGGTCTGCTGCGCCCGGCTGGCCGGCCTCTTCGTCATAGGAGAGCCCCGCACCCAGTGGTTTTTGAGACTTCTCC